TGATAATATTCAATAATCCACACCTGAAAAAGTGATCACAAATAAAAGCTAAAAACGCCGAAAACTCAATATTTAAGGAGTTATCGCCATTTTAAAATGTTCAATAATTCATAGCTGAAAAAGTGATCACAAATAATAGCTAAAAACGCCGAAAACTCAATATTTAAGTAGTTATGGCCATTTTAAAATATTCAATAATTCATGCCTAAAAAAGTGATCACAAATAATAGCTGAAGTAGCCGAAAACTCAATATTTAAGGAGTTATGGCCATTTTAAAATATTCAATAATTCATAGCTGAAAAAGTGATCACAAATAATAGCTAGAAACGCCGAAAACTCAATATTTAAGGAGTTATGGCCATTTTAAAATATTCAATAATTCATAGCTGAAAAAGTGATCACAAATAATAGCTAAAAACGCCGAAACCTCAATATTTAAGGAGTTATGGCCATTTGAAAATATTCAATAATCCACACCTGAAAAAGTGATCACAAATAAAAGCTAAAAACGCCGAAAACTCAATATTTAAGGAGTTATGGCCAATTTAAAATATTCAATAATTCATGCTTAAAAAAGTGATCACAAATAATAGCTAAAAACGCCGAAAACTCAATATTTAAGGAGTTATGGCCATTTTAAAATATTCAATAATTCATGCTTAGAAAAGTGATCACAAATAATAGCTAAAAACGCCGAAAACTCAATGTTTAAGGAGTTATGGCCATTTTAAAATATTCAGCAATTCACACCTGAAAAAGTGATCACAAATAATTGCTAAAAACGCCGAAAACTCAATATTTATAGAGTTATGGCCAAAATATTCCGTCTTGGCTGAGGGTATGTATCTGTCGGCAAAACCGACTGATATTTTTTGGCTGGAATTTAAATTATTTTCTCACCTTTGTTTAAATTTATTAATTTGAATTTAATTTAATAGACAACCAATTAAATAGACATATATTTTTTGTTCAAAATTTGAATAAAAATAATTATTTATCTCAAATCGATAGCGGCTCAGTTGTTGTTTTTTTACCGGCTAATTCAAGTTTTTTTTCCTCCAATTCAGGGTCGTTAAATATTCAATGGCATGCTAACTGCATAAAATTATGCCAGATTAACCAAGTATTGAATTAACAATGTATATTAATTAGTTAGTCTCTAATTTGTTTCGGCATGATCCCCAAACTGTGTTCTTGGAATATAAGTTAAATGACCTGCCCTGCATGAGATGTAGCCCATATTCATTAATAGTTTGGCTAATGTGGTTAACAAATTTTCTGTAATATTAAATAAAGGTATATGAGCATCCGTGGGCAGAGCTAAAATAAACATCCGGTCTTGTGGAAGTGCTAAGGAAAAAGAAGGAAAAATTAAATTTTTAAGCACAGCATGGATTAGGTGTTAGGATGCCTTTCAATGTATAAGGACACATTAGTCCTTCAGTCAACTACATATTCCTGTTTTAAAGTTTCTATAAAAAAATATTCATTCGTTTTTAATGCTGAAGTCATGATGTTGAAATTTTGAAGCAGAAAAAAATGAAAACTAAATTTAACAATTGAAAAAGTATTGGTCAGTCTGTTCAACAGGTGTATACCCTCAGCAAATGTTGGATTATTTAAATATATTTTGACTTCTGTTATGATTACGCAAATTGTTGATTCTTTATGGAGTAGGTTCCGAAGGAATGGATTAAAATTGTCAATTTCATATCGAACCTAAATAAATATGTCATAAATATTATGAGGTGCCAGGATTGGACTATATCGACTACTTCCTTCACATTACTATATGGGTGAGATGAAAAAAACTGCAACCAACTTCAGACTGCTGTCATTTCTAAGCCACTCGTCCGACAGCTGTTAAAATTATTCCAGTGACAGCTCATTATATTGTCTACAAGCGTACAAAAGCATTTTGGTGAGAATTTTTCAGAAAAAAAGTTATTCGTGGTTCGGAATTCAAGCGTGATAGCGTGATTTCTTTGTATTTGGCTGGAAAACCACCAACCAGGCTAAGGAAAAAAAGGAAAAATTAAATTTTAACCGCAACAAATTCAAACGCCATAATTTTTACATTTTATTTTTTTAAATTCCATTGAAGGAAAGCAAAACATGTCGGAAATGGCATCAAATTTTAGAATAAGCTTAGATTCGTTTGAATTGGTCACCTTGGTACGAGTTATAGCCTTCAAATGGCCAATGAAACCGTCACATGCTGCCCGAATGATGCTCTGCCGTATTTTGGCCCATTACCGGCGAAGCGCTTGCTTGAGGTGATCGACACTTTGGTATTTTTTAGTGCCAACCTTGCTTTCCAAAATACTCCAGACACAATAGTCCAACGGATTGGTATCCGGAGGTTTTGGTGACCATTGTGCGCTGAAAATGAAGCGAGAAACCTCATTTTGTAACCATTCTTGGGTGGCGCGAGCTGAGTGCGATGGTGCTGAGTCCTGTTGGAATGTCCAAGGTCTGCGGCCAAAATGTTTGCATGCCCAAGGCTACACCCTCCAGAATATTTTCGCGATAATATTCGGCATTTATTCTGATGCCACGGTCGATTAACACGAGCGGAGAGCGACAACTGTTATGGCGGCTCACACCATCGTCATGGCTCTCCTCCACCCTCCAGAATATTTTCGCGATAATATTCGGCATTTATTCTGATGCCATTTATTCTGATGATGCGACCATCGGCTGTTATGGCGGCCCACACCATCACCATGGCCGGCGCTTGAGTTCTGGTGGCCAACCGAACGTGCACATTTTAAGCTGACCTCTTTGACAAGTAAACACGATCATTTTGTTTCTTTACCAGCTGCTGGACAACGAATGTTTTCTCATCGGAGAAAACCAAATTCGGCAGTTTACCACTTTCGTCCAAGCAAAGCAACTCTATAGCTCTTTTGAGTCTATTTTCTTTTTGTTGCGGTGTAAGTTCTTGCACTTTTTGGAATTTCAATGGCTTTACCCCGAGCTCATCTTTCAATATTTGCCAAATGGAATATTGCTATATGTTCAGCTCAGGAGTCATTTTTCGGCAACTGCGACTCGTGTTTCGCTCAAGTCGCTTCTTTACTTTTCGAACCATTTCTGCTGATATTGCTGTTTTCTTTCGTCCACTTCCTTGACGTCGGGCTACGCTACCAGTATCACGTAATCGGTAACGAGCGATGGTATGAGACAAAAAATGTTTATTCACATTTAAATGCTGGAGTGCTCTAACGATAGCCACTTGGATGGTGGTTTTCCAGCCAAATATAAAGAAATCACACTATCCCGCTTGAATTCCATCACCAATAACTTTTTTTCTAGAAAATTCTCACCAAAATGCTTTTGTACGCTTGTAAACAACATAATGAGCTGTCACTGGAATAATTTTAAAAGCTGTCAGACGAGTGGCTTAGAGATGACAGGAGTCTGACGTTGGTTGCAGTTTTTTCATCTCATCCTGTATATAATCTTCACAAGAGATCTTGTGTTAGCAAAATTTTTTGTAATTTGAAGAGATTTATTTTTTAAAATCTTGAACCCTGTGTGGGGGAGGTACCAGAAGAAATGGTCCGATATCAACCAACTTTATAACAGATCTTGTGTTGATGACTATATTGAGATCTACCAAGTCTGAATGGAATCGTATATTAAATTCGCGTTTTATGAGCTTCATGGATATTAAAAATTTTAACCCTTTGTAGGGGAGGTACCAGGAGGACCGATGTATCTCATCTGCGCAGCACATCTTGTGTCAGTAGAAATAATGGGATGTGTGAAATATGAAGAGAACCGGTTGCTTATTTCGGATTTTATGATTGTTTTGGTTATTCAAAATTCTCACCCTTTGTGGGGGAGGTACCAGAAGGAATGGTTCTATCTATACCATCTTTAAAACAGATATTGTGCTGATAGAAATACTAGGATGTGCTAAGTTTGAATGGCATCGGATATTATTTTCTTGTTTTATGAGCTTCATGGATATTCATAATTTTGACCCTTTTGTAGGGGAGGTACCAGGAGGACCGATCTATCCCATCTTCACAGCAGATCTTGTGTTAGTAGAAATAATGGGTTGTGTGAAATATAAAGAGAAACCAATGCTTATTTCGGATTTTATAATCGTTTTGATTATTCCGAACTTTGACTCTTTGTGGGGGAGGTAGCAGAAGCAATGGTCCGATCCCTACTATTTTTATAACAGATCTTGTGCTAATGGAAATATTGAGATGCACCAAGTCTAAATGGAATCTGCTCTTCATTTCGTGTTTTATGAGCTTCATGGATATTCAAAATTTCGACCCTTTCTAGGGGAGGCACCAGAAGGAGTGGGCCGATAATGCCCATTTTCACACCAGACCTTGGGTTAATAAACATATTGTGATGTGTGTAAATTGAAGACAATCGGACCCTTACATCACATTTTATAAGAGTTATAATTGTTCAAAATTGTGACCCTTTGTGGGGGAGGTACTTGATGGAGTGGACCGATATTGTCCATTTTCGCACCTTACCTAGCACTGACGCAAATATTAGGATTTGCAAAGTTGGAGCAAAATCGAATTATTCATTTTCTTTTTTTTGGCAATTTTGACCATTTGTGTGGGAGGTACCAGAGGGAGTGGACCGGTATTACCCATCTCCGAAGTCGATCTAGATTTGATAATAATATTACAATGTAGCAAGTTTGGATCAAATCCGATACTCCCTTCGAGAGTTATCGTGCGCCCCTGCCAGACAGACGGACGGATGGACGTCGCTAGATCGACTCCAAATATCCTGAAACGGATTTGGTCCAAAGAGATTTAGGGTCTAAAATCGTTATTTCGATGAGGCACCTTTTGACCGTATCAAGTGATATATACCCTTTCTAGCCATATCATTAAAAAAATGACCTTGATCTCCAAACTGCTGGCACACATTGGTCCTTCGAGCAATTTAATGGAGCATATTAAGTCTATATCTATCAATAGTTTTAGAAATTAATCATAAACACCATTTTCAATTTTTTTTCATATCTTAATATTTTTTTATTTCGAAATATCCCTAAATAACAAAACTTAAATAAAATTTTATTTTAAATGCCAGACTTGACTTATTTTCCCTACTAAATAAAATTTTGTCTTATTCTGCTATAAATTCACATCAACTTGAATTCTTTCCAAAGTCTAGCCTCTCAGTCTTGGAGATAAATGGAATTAAATGCCATATTCTTTCAATTCACATCCTGTATAACAGTTTCACACGAGTCCTTGGTAATCCACAGCAATCGCAAACTGTTCGAAGTGGCTTTGGTGTTTTTCTCAAAATTACATCTGCCATAGGAGAGACCACTAAATGGGGCAGAAGAAATAACAATTATTTAATTAAAATTGGATACATTTTTGTTGTTGAAAAAATGAAAACTTACCCAAAATCGGCAAAATCTCCCAATAAATTCACCAGCCGTTGGGATACCACCACCTCATCGGGTCTGGCTGTACTGCGAAAAACGGGTCTCAGCAACAATGTGATGTCATCCAAATGACTGGCACCTGAAATTTACATTAGATTGATTAGATTCAGATTTTTGCAGAAAATAAATTTTTGGAAATTCGTACTAAAACGGTACGGTACATATCGTAGCATGTGAACGATTAAGGCTACGAACTTGAAATTTGGAATGGGAATCAATGTTGAGGAGTAGAGTCGATGTAAGGAGGTAGTTTTGGAAGTGTATACTCATTTTCACGAAAAGTACTAAATGGTACTTAATTTAGTACAATTTGAATTTTGAGGGACGCATGGAGCTGGAATCCTGAAATTCGAAATTAACATTTCTGGCGGAGTGTTGGATTGGGAAATGGAGGAAGTTTTCTAAATTTGTACTTATGCGCACAAAAAGTACTAAATGGTACTAAATTGGTACAATTTAAATTTTGGGTGAACCAACAGAGTTCGAACCCTGAAATTTGGAAATAAGATTTCTGTCGAATCGGGATATGAAGAAATCATAAATTTGGTATTAGGATGTTCATGTGTAGTCTAGAGATATGTATCAGATTTCGGAAATGTGTGCAAAAATTGTACGAAGTGTATTGAATGGTACTAAATTCGGTGAAGAGATAGAGACAAAATTCCGAAATTTAATGTTCATATTCCTGATGGTATCTGTGTTTGAGATTTGGAGTTGATTTTGGAAATGTGTACTATAATTGTACGGAGAGTACTAAATGGTACTAAATTTGGTATCGGGTGAAGGGAGGGGGCTGAAATCCTCAAGTTTAATATTGAAGTCCCTATTGGTATCTGCAATCGAGATATGAATGTGGTTTTGGAAATGTGTACTTTATTTGTACGAAAAGTACTGAATGGTACTTTATTTGGGATGAGATAAATTTCTGAAATTTGTTATTTATATTACTGATGGTATCCATGTTTGAGTTACTATAATTGTTCGAAAAGTACTAAATAGTACTAAATTTGGTATTGTGTGAAGGAAATGAGCTGAAATCCTGAAATTTGATATATGTGTCGCTGTTGGTGTCTCTGGTTGAGATATGGAGGTGGTTTTGCAAATGGGTACTATAATTGTTCGAAAAGTACTAAATGGTACTAAATTTGGTGTTGGGTGAAGGCATAGCGCTTGAATCTTCAAATTTGATATTGAGTTCTCTTTTGATATTTGGAAATGAGATATAGAGGTGGTGTTGGAAATTAATAAGTTTTGTATCGACTGAATGTATAGAGCTGAAATTTGGCATTGAGGTCTCTGTTGGTATCAAGTGGTGGTTTTGCAAATTCGTACTATAATTGTTCGAAAATGATACTAATTTTGGATCGTTCTGCATATGTGTACTAAATATTACTAAATTTGGTATTAAATGAAGGGATAGAGGTAAAACTCTGAAAGTTGATATTGAGCTTTCTGTTGGTATCTGAAATTGAGATCTGGATGTGGTTTTGCAAATGTGTTCTATTATTGTTCGAAAAGTACAAAATTTAACTAAATTTGGTATTGAGGGAAGGGATAGAGCTGAAATCGGAAATTTTGATATTGATATTGAGGTCAATGTTGGTTTCTAGGGTTTGCATACGACGTATGAAGTTTTCATTGAAAAATTGTGTCCATTTGAGTACGAATATAAAATTTTAAGGTGGGCTTTTCTCTGTCGAAGTAGCGGGCACTTGCTAGTTTAGTATAAAAATGGAAAGATGAACTTTGAATACCCTCCACCATTTGGAACGAATTTAGAAATAAAATCCTTAAAAACCGAATATAGCCGTTATATAGGTGTCTATACGACGTGGACCTACATAGGCATTGTTTGTCATAAGTCATTACCATATTAAAATTCGAAACTTGAAATAAACGGTGAATAATGTAGCTAAAATCATCAAAATATCGTGTATAGGGAGGTACCGTTGTATCGCCAGCTGTGCGAAGACCTGGACCAGCCTAGACAATTTTCTGTCATAGGCTGTAGCATCCATTACGAAGTTCAAATACGACATCTCAAACTCTTTCGGTGGGTATTGTACCTAAACTCGTCAAAATACCGAATATAGGGAGGTAGTAATATATGGGGCCTATTCGAAGACCTGAACCTGCAGAGGCAATTGTCTGTCATAGACTGTATTATCCAATACGAAATTCAAATATCAAATTTGAAACAATTCCAGCGAATAATGTCGCTAAAACCATCAAAATACCGAATATCGGGAGATACAGTTATATAGGGGCTATACGAAGACGTGAACCTATACAGACAATTTTCTGTCACGGACTGTAGTACCCATTAGGACCTCCAAACACGAAATTTGAAACAATTGACTAATGTAGCAAGAATCATCAAAATATCGAATATAGGGAGGTACAGTCATATGCGGCGATATCGTAGACCTATATAGCCCATTTTTAATACCAAAAGTCCTGCAGACCAAACACACATTCGAGTAAAATTTTCTTTTTGTTCTCTTTAAAGAAATTTATGCTCAATGTCCAATATTTTAGTTCAAAATTGAATATTCGATATTATTTTTTTTTGGAATATTTTAGACGATTTGTTGTCGAACGGGTAATGCCATTACCCAGTAATGGGAAAAAGTTGCTGTTTTCCTCTTAACAATTTTGCTAATTAATCAACATTTGAATCTCTCAGTATAATTCTCGACATTTTTTTTGTGAAAATTTTAGACTTTTTTTCTCATACGGGTAATGAAGAATGTTTACTGTTGTCATTACCCAGTAATGGGGAATGTTTCTGTTTTCCTCTTAACAAATGTTTCATATTTATTCCTCATTTGAAATTCTTAATAAAATTCCCAACATTTTTTGTGTGACTCTTTTTTTGTCATAATGATAATGCCGAATGCATGCTGGTGTCATTACCCAGTAATGGGGAAAAGTTGCTGTTTTCCTTTAAAAATTTTTCCTAATTAATCCTCATTTAAAATTCTTAATAAAATTTACGACATTATTTATTAACATTTAGATGTTTTTTTTGTCATGCTGGTAATGCCGAAAGTACGCTGTTGTCATTACCCAGTAATGGGAAAAATGTTGCTGTTACCCTCTTCACAATTGTTTGCTAAAAAATCAACATTTGAAATTTTTCATTAAAATTCTCGGCATTTTTTTTGAAATGTTAGGCATTTTTTGTCATAAGGGTAATGCAGAATGTATGCAGGTGTCATTACCAAGTAATGGGGAATGTTGCTGTTACCCTCTTTACAAATTTTTGCTTATAAATCCACATTTGAAATTCCCAATTGCATGCTCGACATTTTTTGTGTGAAAATTTTAGTCCCTTTTTTGTCATACGGAAAATGTAGAATGTATGCTGATGTCATTACCCGGTAATGGGAAAAAGTTAGCGTTTCCCTCTTAATATTTTTTTTGCTGATTTATCAACATTTGAAATTCCCAATTGCATGACCTATATTTTTTGGTGTGAAAATTTTAAAATGTTTTTTCGTCATGCGGGTAATGCAGAATGTATGCTGGTGTCATTACCAAGTAATGGGGAAAGTTGCTATTACCCACTTTACAAATTTTTGCTAAAATTTCAACATTTGAATTTCTCAATAAAATTTACGACATTTTTTGTGAAAATGTTAGACTTTTTTTTTGTCATACGGGTAATGCAAAATGTATACTGTTGTCATTACCGAATAATGGAAAAAGTTGATCTTACTCATCCAAACATTTTTTGATGTATTTCTAAATCCTCACCGGAATTAATTATTTTTTTTAAATAAGTATATCTTTTATGGCAAGCGGGTAATGCAGAATGTATGGTGTGGTCATTACCTAGTAATGGGAAAAGTTGTCTCTCTCTCCTAACAAATGTTGGTTATTTTTTTTAATTTAAAATTCTCACTTCAATTCTGCACATTTTTTTTTCAAAATAAAAATAAAAATTCTCTCAAACTCACCAAATTTAATATCCGTTCGGAATGCCAAATCGTAGCCAATGGCATAATTCGAGGCAATGTCATAGACAAAACCATAAACTGGAGCCTTGGAGTAACGGCTATGCAGCTGCATGGCCTTCAGGACGCCATTCTTGACCAAAACATCTGTGTACATTTCCTCTACCTTGGCATAGGATTTCGTGGAGAATGGTTCATCACCCAAATAGGCATCCTTTAAACCCTGGGCATAGCCTCGTGGATCTTTGCTAATGTGTTGCAGGAAGAGATTTTGCGGTGCCAAGTCGAGCCAATTTTTGTTCATTTCATTGATGTATTCCGTGCCCGTCCTTGGGTTTATTCTCAAAAGTTCGGCAGCATTGAAATTGCCATCATGACTCGTGTAGGATACCAGCCAGGGAATGTGACTGAAACGTCCGGATTTTATGATGGCCTCAGGTTGTTCGGTAAGAAAGGCATTTTTGGCATTTTTCGGCTCCACCACGGGCCCGAAGGGTACCAGGGGATTATAGCCCCAGTTTAGGAGAGTTTGAACGGCATTGACAATATCGGTGGCGTTGCGGGATTGTAGACATGTTTTCAGATCCTGGCTGGACTTGGCGTTGCAATTAACGGCCGCTGCCAGGCGATTGGCATTGTCCTGAGGCTTGGTAATTACGGCCCAGGGGTTTAATGCTACTCCGCTCATGGAAATGGCTGCCTTGGCAATGTTGGCCAGCGAGGGCCTCAGCATATGCAAATGGGTGCTGGCCCCTCCCGCCCCATGTCCCAAAAGCAAGATTTTATTTGGATCTCCATCGAAGTTGGCAATGTTTTGTTTAATCCATTGCAGGGCCAGCAGTTGGTCCTTTAGACCATAGTTACCGGGTATGACATTGTCGCCGGTACTGAGGAAGCCCAGGGGGCCCAAACGATAGTTGACCTTGACCATGACAATACGGCTGCCCACCATGGAAGGTTCCGGATCAAATTCTGGGCCACCGCCCATCATGAATTGGCCACCATGGAGAAATACCACAACGGGATATTTGACCCCTCTCGGCTTGGGTGTGTAAATGCTCAGGGTAAGGCAATCCTCTTGGCCCCGCAATTTGTTGACACCATGGTCTCGGAACCATTGCAGGCAATATTGTGGATAGACCGTGGCATTGAGTTCCGTTGGCCATTTTTGGTCCAACGGCTGGGGATCTTCAAAACGCAATTTTCCCACCGGAGGCTTGGCATAGGGTATGGACTCCCAACTGAAATACATGCCCCACTCTTTGCCCCTTATCGGGCCATTGGGGGTTTGAACCACAACACTACCACTGCCGGCAGCATCAGCCACGCTTTGGCGTATACTGTTTCTATCCACGGTATTGGGTGTTCTGGCCGGTTTTCCGGGTGGCAAATTCAAGGATTGCCCAGCCTCTGCAGCTGGGGCCACGGGAGGCAATAACTCGTCAAATGGCAGCTGGCATCGCACATCACTATTATTCAGCAGACATGCCAAAAGAAACACCAAAAATCGACTAAAACGTAACTCCATTTGTAACCAACGATTCCGAGATCACTGTTCTCCCTGCTAATGCTAATCACTGACTAAATATGCCGCAGACACGCTTGTATTATTTATATATTTTAATTAATTTACACACATTATTAACAGGTTCTTCGGCTGGGCATAAATTAGCCAGCGAGTGATGACTTATATATAACAGCGGGGCAGTCATCCAACACCACCTCCATCGGCAGCCATTGATCGGCCAAGCCCTGTTTGATTTTTGAAAATTTGTTTTTTTTTTTTCTCCAAAGTTGTAATTCAATATTTGTTCTTGTTTTTTTTTCCAAACTTGTGATTCGATTCAAATCAATTCGTTTATTGGGTCATTGATGCGCATAAATTATCGAAATTTCGAAATTCACATCCAGAAATGGGTTCTTTAGGACATTGACTGCTCTAGATTTATACGCAGGCTTATAAATAATTTTCTAGAGCAAAAATTTGAGCTGCCCAAAAAACCCGCTGAATTAAAGTGAAAGTTAAACACGTGAACGATTTGGAATACTTTTTTTTTGAAATAGGTTATAGAACCCCATAATATTTCAAATTATATATCCTCCTACTTCGCAAATTCCTAATTTATCTATCCGCAATTATTTTAATTTATTATGGATTTAAATACAAAAATAAAATCAAACATTGAAATAAATTTTCAAGACCTGTATTTAAATGAAAAGGCAGTGAGCCGATATATTTTCAATACATGCGGTTAATAACCTACCCTACCACACTTCCTTGGTCATTGACCCGTAAAAAAAAAAACAAAAAGAAAATATGAATGGTTTACTTATGGGCAGGTTCAAGAACTTTGTCTCCAAACAAGCGTTCAATTTCGAAAATACCGTGATTGAGAGTGGTTTTCATTTAGCTGCCACCCTATGTGAAGCAGTTAAGTGAAAATTTCTAGAATGGTTTGTGTGATTTTCTCTTATAATTAGGATAAAAAATAAATAAAACAAATTTTTGATTTTGTGTCGGGACAGTGGTTTGTATAAGCGAATATCCAATAATTTGGGTGCAGCTAACCTATTACGCTTCTTAAATCCAATTCTAAAGTAGAAAACGGTCATTGCCCCAAATGAAGAAAGAAGTTTTGCTGAAGGTTGTAATCAGGGTTTAAAATTTAGCCTTAGCCTTACGCTGCGATTCCCATTAAATAAACTGTGCGACAAAATTCCATTTTTAAATAATTACAGGAAAAATCCCGCAGAATATGAAAGTAGAGCTAAAACTACGAGGCAGGTGTATTGGCGTTTTTAAAGGTTTACATCAACCAAAGCAACCATAATAGAGGAGGACAAATTTCCCCGTTTTTATACCTTCCACCATACCATGGAGCGTATATTTACTTTGTCATTCCGTTTGTATCTCTTCGAAAAACTCATGTCAGACCCAACAATATATATATATATATATATATATATATATATATATATATATATATATATATATATATATATATATATATATATATATATATATATATTCTTGATCAGCATACAATTCTAAGTCGATTTAGCGATGTCCGTCTGTTGTAATCACGCTGCCTTTCGAACGAATTGAGATAGACGCCTAAAATTTTGCACACATGTATATTTTGCCGGTAGGCAGGTTAAGTTCGTAAATGGGCCATATAGGTCCACGTTTTCATATAGCCCCCATATAACGGTACCTCCTGATATTCGGTATTTTGTTTCAAATTTGGTATTTTAAGTTCGAAATGGGTACTACAGCCTAAGACAGAAAATTGTTCGTGCAGGTCCATGTCTTCGTATAGCCCCCATATAACGGTACCTCCCTATATTTGGTATTTTGATGATTTTAGTGACATTATTCACCGGAATTTTTTCAAATTTGGTATTTTAAGTCGAGATGGACACTACAGCCTAAGACAGAAAATTGTCTGTGCAGGTCCACGTCTTCATATAGCCCCCATATAACGGTACCTCCCTATATTCCGTATTTTGATGATTTTAGCGACATTATTCACCGGAGTAGTTTCAAATTACGTATTTAGAGTTCGTAATGGGATCTACAGTCTGTGACAGAAAATTGTCTATCCAGCTCCAGGTCTTCGTATAGCTCCGGTGTAACGGTACTTCCCTATATACGGCATTTCGATGATTTTAGCTACATTATTCGCCGTTTATTTCAAGGTTCGAATTTTAATATGGTAATGGCTTATGACAAACAAAGCCTATGTAGGTCCATGTCGTATAGACCCCAATATAACGGCTGTATTCCGAATTTTTAAAAATTTAAGAGAATTCGTAAAGGATTTTATTTTTTGAAAATGTCCAAATTCATTCCAACTGGTGGAGGGTATTCAAAGTTCGGCCCGGTCGAACTTACTGCTTTTTAACTTGTTATTTTTTTATTTTTGGATTAAGATTCCTTAAAATCTACCATAGGTATAGTATATAGTGTTTTCGGCGATATTACTTAGTGGCAAGTGCCCGCTACTTCGTCCGCGAAAAGTCCACCTTAAAATTGCAGATTCGTTCCAACAGGTCGTTTTAGGGCTTGTTAGTAGTCAAAATGTACAACTCGTTCAGTTTGACATCTGACATCAAATTTTATTTAAAAATTCTTCAAAAATCCACACCTCCTCATCCTAAACAACAACAACAGTGATCCACATTTAGCACTTTTCGACCGATTATAAAACCACCAGATATTAACACCAAATACCAACGAAGACATCAATATCAAATCAAATTTTGGGGATTTAACCTCTAACCTTTCATCCAATTTTGTACGACTTATTCTTTTCGAACAATTATAGTAAATATGCCTAAAACTACCTCCAGATATTAACCACAGACACCAAGGCATTTAATTTAAATTTCAGGATATCAGCTCTATTCCTTCACCCAATACCAAATTTAGTAACATTTAGTACTTTTCGAACAATTATAGCACACATTTCAGCTCCAAAACTTTACCATAGACACCAACAGCGACATCTATAGAAAATTTTAGGAAAATTTAGGAATTCAGATCTATTCCTTCACGCAATACCAAATTTAGTACTAATTAGTAATTTTAGTACAATTATAGAACACATCTCAAAAACCACCTCCACATCTCAGTTGCAGATAACAACAGAGATCTCAATATCAAATTTCGGGTTTCCAGCTCTATCCCTTCACCCAACACCACATTTAGTACTATGTAGTACTCTTCGAACAATTATAATTCACATTTCCAAAACCACATCCACATCTTGGTTCCAGATACCAACAGAGACCTTAATATCAAAACCCTAACCATTCACCCAATACCAAATTAGTGGTACCATTTAGAACTTCTCGTACCAATAAAGGACGAATTTACGAAATACAGCCAAATCTCAAACACAGATACCAACAGTAATCTAAATATCAAATTTAAGAATTCTATCTCTATCCTTTCACCCAATACCAAATATAGTACCATTCAGTACTTTTTGTTCAATTACAGTACACATATTCAAAACCGTACCTTCATATCCCAATTCCAAGTTCCTAATACCAACAGAGAATATCAAATTTCGTGTTCCCATCTCAATCTCAATTTAGTACTATTCGAAAAATTATAGTACGCATTTCCGAAACCACCTCCATATGTCCAGGCTACACATGAACAGCGACCCTAGTACGAAATTTCAAATTTCAAGCATTATATGTTCTCCTAATACCAAATAAAGTACTATTTAGTACTTTTCGAGCACTTGTAGTACACATTTCCAAAGCCTCTTCTTTATCAACTACCACCAACAGGGACCCCCGATACAAAATTGAAAAAATTCTGCTCCATCCCTTCACGCCAAGCCAAATTGATTCAAATTTAGTACCATTTAGTACAGTTCGCACCCTTAGTACATATTTTTCAACCTTGATTCTTATGTTGTTAGCTCTATCTGTTCTCATAATCCCAAATGATACCATTTCCGAATTTTAGTACCATTCTAGAACTTTTCGTAACCTTAAAGTTTGAATTTCCAGAAAACCTTTGGTACCTCTATCCTGCACACCATCAATGACTCTCATTTCAAATTTCAGAAATCTAAAGTATTAATTTTGGATACTTTTTATACTCTTTTGGTACGAATTTCCAACAACCCTAAGACTTTCCCTCGTGCAAAATTTCAAGATTCTAGCTTCGGTGGTCTCGTCTGGGCGTTGATTGTCAGTAAGTCAGTTATTTCCCTATTCTTTTTATACCCTCAGCCATGTGGCTAGAGAGGGTATAAATCATCTGATAGGCCAAAACGTGTCTCATTGAAATAACGGTTTTAGACCCTAGGTCTGTTTGGACCAAATCCGTTTCAGGACATTTGGAGTCGATCTAGCGATGTTCGTGTGTCTGTCTGGCTGGCTGGTGTGCACGATAACTCTCGAAGGGAGTATCCGATTTGATCCAAACTTGGTAGATATATTATTGTCAAGCATAGATCGAGTTCGGAGATGGGCAATATCGGTCCACTCCTTCTAGTACCTCTCCCACAAAATGTCGAAATTTTCAAAAATATATATTTTACTGCACAAAAAGAGAAAGAATCATCCGATTTCGCTTCAACTATGCAAATCCTAATATTTGCATCTGTTCTAGGTCAGGTGAGAAAATGGACAATATAGTTCCACTCCATCAATTACCTCCCCCACAAAGGGTCAAAAATTTGGATAAACTCACACATTACAATATTTTTATTAACCCAAGGTCTGGTGTGAAGATGGATTGGAATTCTGGTACCTCCCACACAAAGTGTCAGCATTTTGAATATCAATGAAGCTCATAAAACGCAAAAAAAACTTCCGATTCCATTCAGTCTAGGCACATCACAATATTTCCCTTAACATAAGATCTGTTACAAAGAAGGTAGAGATCGGACCATTCCTTCTGGTACCTCACCCACAAAGGGTCAAATGTTTGCAAAACGATTATTAAATTCGAAATAAGCATCGGGTTCTCTTCAAATTTCACACTTCCCATTATTTCTACTAACACAAGATCTGCTGTGATGATGGAATATATCGGTCCACCCCAACAAAGCATCAAAATTTTGAATATCCCTGGAGCTCATAAAACGCGAAATTAACATCGTATTCCATTCAGACTTGTGGCATCCCAATATTTCATTTAACACAAGATTTGTGATGAAGATGGAAGAGATCGGACAATTTCTTCTAGCGCCTCCCCCACATTGGGTTCAAGATTTTGAAAAACAAAACGCTCAAAGCGAAATAAACATCCTTCAAATTTTATACATCCAAACATTTTTGCTAACACACCATATCTGTTGTGAAGATGATATATATCTGCGAACCCCTTCTGGAACCTCAATATATTTAAATAAGGGATGTTTTTCTAAGAGCTTACTGATTTGAAATTCAAATAAAATACATGTCAAATTATGATATGACCAAAAAATTGATTTTGTTTGGTAGATAATTTCTTGTCATTTAACATTTAAATATAGTTTCGGGCATATGGCCACCACGACTATTTTGCACAAAGTTTTCTGGAGCTCCAATTTACGACCACCTTTTCAAGCATGAGGGCGTATTTCAGCAATGACACATTGGCTTCCAAGGCGTCAATCGTTTCTGGTTTATCCACGTAAATGACAATGACTTCAGATATCCCCACCAAAAAATAAACAAGTGGAGGCCGATTCACCGGTCCATTTCTCGAAAAAGTTAATAATAAGTAATTTCAAAAGACAGGCGGACAGACAGACAGACATCGCTACATCGACTTACGCTGATAAATAATATATACTCTTTTTGGGGTCTACGATGAATATTTCGAGGTGTTGTAAATTTAATATACCCCCATTGTATGGTGGAGGGTATAAAAATGTATTTTCCTATTTCTAAAACAAGTTAAAAAGTATCAGTCGGGTTTGCCGACAGATATATACCCTCAGCCCATATTTGATTACTTAAATATATTTTGACTTCTGTTATGATTATTCAAATTACTGACCCTCTATGGAGTAGATTCCGAAGGAATGGGCTAATATTGTCCATTTTGAATTGATCCTAAAAAAATACGATATAAATATTGCGAAATATATATCGACTACTTCTTTCACTTTGTATTACAAAATCGAGATTTTTGGGGTTGATCTCCTTAAAAAAATTATTAAATTTGCAATTTCGATATCGTATAGCCCCCTCTTAACAGTTTTTATTTAATTGCCTGAAAATCCACACCAGGATATCCCTCTAAGTAATTTACCTCCTGAAAGAAAACTATCTATATAGGTCCCGAATATTGTATATCCCCCATATAACGATACCTCCCGATATTCGCTATTTTGATGATTTTAGAGTCATTGCTAATCGGAATTGCTTCAAATTTCGTATTTGAATCTCGTAATGAGTACTTCGACCTATGACGGAAAATTGTCTATGTAGGTCCACGTCTTCATATAACCCATATATAATGTCGCCTCCATATGGCGATATTAGCGACATTTTTAAGCGGAATTATTTTAAATTTCGTATTTAAAGTACGTAATAGGTACTACAGCCTATGTAAAAAATACTAATGCAGGACCACGTCTTCGTATAGCCCATATAAGGATTTTCCTATGAGCGGTATTTTTTTGTGGGATTTTTTTTTGGAATTTTTCCAATTCCCTTCAAACTGGTGGAGGGTATTTAAATATCAGTTCGACCAAATTTAGCTGCTTCTTTACTTGTTTCCGCTCGTTTTAAATTTCGTATTTAAAGTACGTAATGGGTACTACAGCCTATGAAAAAAAATACTAATGCAGGACCACGTCTTCGTATAGCCCATATACGGATTTTCCTATGAGCGGTATTTTTTTGTGGAATTTTTTTTTGGAATTTTTCCAATTCCCTTCAAACTGGTGGAGGGTATTTAAATATCAGTTCGACCAAATTTAGCTGCTTCTTTACTTGTTTCCGCTCGTTTTAAATTTCGTATTTAAAGTACGTAATGGGTACTACAGCCTATGAAAAAAATACTAATGCAGGACCACGTCTTCGTATAGCCCATATAAGGATTTTCCTATTTTTTTTTCGTCGGTTTTTTGGAATTTTTCCAATTCCCTTCAAACTGGTGGAGGGTATTTAAATATCGGCTCGACCAAACTTAGCTGCTTTTTTACTTGTTTCCGCTCGTTCTAAGTCTAAGAGTTAACACTTAATCTCTTTCGAACATTTTACCTTCTACTCGTTTTGTTAAAACTGTGGAAATCTCTAACGTTCTAACATTAAGCAAAGGTCTCCATAGTAATCTCGCTCTCTTCGAGTACTCCCACTTGCGATTTTTTCACTTGCAAGTAAAATCGATCTTGTGTGCTTAATGGAGGGTTGAACTAGCGATTTTGGCGAAAACTCTCTCATGTTAAATATTTATTTTTTTTTCAAAGCCCTGCGACATTTTTTTAACTTTTACAAACCTTCAGCCGCCTTTCAGAATTGTTTAAATAAAAAACTATATTTTAATAATTTTTTATTTTAATTTAAACAAATTTTACACTTCAATGGCCACCGTTCCACAAGTGTCGCTGGTAATGGATGTTAGATATAAATTGGGTGATTTCTCGGCACTATTATCGGTAAAATCGCATTGGTCAAAGCAGAGATTTCTAGAAGTAGAGACATTTCAAATACAAATTTAAGTTCCCAAAATATTCTCCCACAAACTTACCCCTTTTCCACAAAATCCACCAACATTTTGATAAAATGCTGGGCAATGCGTTTTTCATCTGGCCTCGGGGGACTGCGGGAGCTCATTGGTAGAATGAGGGAGAAGTCGTCCATGTGAACGGTGCCTGAGAAAAAGGATAATATTTTCAAAATGTAAACAAAATATTTAAAAAATTACAATATTTTGAAAAATACTCATTACAAATGTCATTACCAAGTCATTATCTTAAGGAGGGCATATTCCACGAAGGAAGCAGTAATTTTGTGGAGACAAGAAATCGATAAAAGAAATATTTTTTAATGACTTAAAAAATATGTATTTATAGACTTTTAGTCGCCACAAAATAACTTCTTACTTCGTGGAATATACCCTCCGAAAAATAATGGATTGGTAACCACATTTGTAATGAGTATTTTTTTTTTCAAAATATGGTTTGGTAACTAGTTTTGTAATGAGTATTTCTGCTGTGTACTTACCAAATTTCACATCGTTACGTTTAGACACCCCCTGACCCACATTGTAATCCGCCGGATTGCTATAGACATAACCATAAACGGGGGGCCTGGGAATATTGCTTGTGTAGCTTCAAAGAATCCAAAACTCCATCCCTAAACAAGACTGCCGTAAAAAGTTCCGAAACATGCGGATAATTTTCCGGATAAAATGCTAACTCCCCCAAATATCTTGACTTCAATTGTCGGGCATATTCCCGAGGATGTTCACTGATGTTGTCCAGAAATAAATTTGTGGCCAACAGCTCCTGCCAATTACCGTTAAGTTGATACATTAGCTCCCTACCCGTTTTGGGATTAATGGACATCAATTCCGCTGCATTGTAACCCCCATCCTCGGAGACATATGAAGCCAACCAGGGTATGTGAGTGAAATTTCCCGATTTGATGATTTCAATGGGATGTTGTGTTAAAAATGCCCCCGGAGTGTTGGGTGGTTCCACTGCCGGTCCAAATACGGTAAATGGATTATAGGCAAATTTTTGAAATCTGGCAGTGGCTGCCACAATGTCCTCCGCCTTTTGTTGTTTGAGACACATTTTAATTTCCAAACCATTTTTGCATTGGGGACACTTCAAAATTTCGGCCAATTTGAGGGCCCTCCACTTGGGGTTACGTATGAGGACCCAGGGATTAAGCGCCACTCCACTAAATGACACTGCAGCCTTGGCCACATTTTCTTGGGGCCTCTGTAAAATATGGAAATGCGTGGAGGCCCCTCCAGCCGAAAATCCGGTCAGGAGAATTTTATTGGGATCTCCACCAAAATGGGCAATGTTTTCCTTAATCCAGCGCAAAGCCAAACGTTGATCTTTCAAACCCAAATTTCCGGGTAGGGCTTCGTCTTCGGCACTCAGGAAACCCAAGGCTCCCAGGCGATAGGCAATGGTAACCAACATCATTTTGCCACTGGCCATCAGGCGCTGGGGTTGATTGACATTTACACCACCAAACATGAAACAGCCGCCATTGATGAAGACCATGACGGGATATTTGACCTCCTCCCCCTCTTTCTCCTCTCCAGTTGTGGGTTTATAAATATTCAATTTCAAACAATCCTCCGTCCCGTGGACCTTATAATCCCCCTCCACAAATTGGTCCCACTGCATACAGACCGGAGCCATTTGACTGGCATCGAAAATGCCATTCCACTGCTGTCGATATGGCTGGGGGTCTTCATATCTCAAATCCCCCACCGGGGCATATGGCATATGGCGCCGATTCCCAGCTTATGTATTGGCCATTATTATCCTTCCCCTTCAGCACACCATTCGAAATTTTAACAAATAATTTCGGATTTTCTCTCACTTCACTCAAAATCCCATTCAAAATTGTCAACAAAATCCCAAAACAAATCACCTGCTTAGCCATATTATTTCCGTTTTGAACTCAACGCGTATTGAAATACAACTAAATTGAATTCAGTTCGTTAAACCTCTCAACACGATCAGAGCTACCTTAAAAATGATTTTGGTTTTGTTATTGTTTGGCGATTTCGAGCCAGATGGAGATAACCCATTTTTCAAAGGTTATGTCGTCGTTGCTGCCGAAATTAAAGGACAATAACCTAAAAAAAGCATGTGCGGATTTACAATTAATAGTTAAATAATATAATTTTAATGACCTGGTTTGGTGACAGCAGGTAAAAATGGGTTTCCTGAAATTTTGATGAATGGATTTTGGAATATTTATTTTTTAAGACCACTGAAATAAAATTAAGGTTTCGAAATAAAATTAAGGTTGGATAACCCTGGACGACAAAATTATTTTTTTGGATAATTTTTGGGGAAATCTGGCAGATTATGAATGTTGGAGTATGAAAGAAAATAAAGAGAGGGGGGAGTAAAAATATAAGTCCCATGTACAAGAAAAAAGGAGCCTCATTGCACTCAATGAATTGCCTGAGGGCGAGATGAAAAAAACAGCAACCAACATCGGACTACTGTCATTTCTAAGCCACTCGTCAGACAGCTGTTAAAATTATTCCAGTGACAGCTCCATATATTGTTTACAAGCGTACAAGAGCATTTTGGTGAGAATTTTCCAGAAAAAAAGTTATGCGTGATGGAATTCAAGCGGGATAGTGTGATTTCTTTATATATGACCACCAACCAAGTGGCTATCGTTAGAGCACTCCAGCATTTAGATGTGAATAAATCTTTTGTGTGTCGTACCTTCGCTCGTTACGGTGATACTGATACTGGAAGCGTAGCTCGACATCAAGGAAGTGGACGGAAGAAAACAGCAACATCAGCAGAAATGCTTCGAAAAGTAAAAAAGCGACTTGATGGAAACCGCGTCGCAGTGGCCGAAAAATGGCTCGTGAGCTGAACATATAGCAATATTCCATTCGGCAAATATTGAAAAATGAGCTCGGGGTAAAGCCATTTAAATTCAAAAAAGTGCAAGAACTTACACCGCAACGGGAAGAAAATAGACTCAAAAGAGCTAAAGAGTTGCTTCGCTTGGCCAAAAGTGGTGAACTGCCGAATTTGGTTTTCTTCGATGAGAAAACATTCGTTGCTCAGCAATTTGTAAACAACAACAACAAAATGATCGTGTTTACTTGCCAAAGAGGTCAGCTGAAAATGTGCACCTTCGGGTGGGCACCAGAACTCAAGCGCCGGCCATGGTAATGGTGTGGGCCGCCACAACAGCCGATGGTCGCTCTCCGCTCGTATTAAACGACCGTGGCATTAGAATAAATGCCGAATATTATCACGAAAATATTCTGCAGGGTGTATTAAAGCCTTGGGCACGAACAACTTTTTGGCCGCAGACCTTGAACATTCCAACAGAACTCAGCACCATTGCACTCAGCACGCGCCACCCAAGAATTGTTACAAAATGAGGTTCCTCGCTCCAATTTCCAGCGCACAATGGCCACCAAAATCTCCGGATCTCCAATCCGTTGGACTATTGTGTCTGGAGTATTTTGGAAAGCAAGGTTGGCATTAAAAAATGCCAAAGTGTCGACCACTTCAAGCAAGCGCTTCGCCGGGAATGGTACAAAAATTCCGCAGAGCAACATTCGGGCAGCGCGTGACGGTTTCATTGGCCGTTTGAAGGCCACAATTCGTGCCAAAGATGACAAATTCGAACAAATCTAAACTTATTCTAAAATTTGATGCTATTTCCAACACTTTTTGCTTCATTCAATAAAAATTAAAAAATGTAAAAATGATGGCGTTTGACTTTGTTGTAGTTTTTTCATCTCACCCTGTATGTGAAAAGTACTAAACGGTACTAAATTTAGTAAAATTTGAATTTAGGGAAATCGATAGAGCTGGAATCCTGAAATTTAAAATTAATATTGCTGGCGGAGTGTTGACTTGGGATATGGAGGAATATTTCGAAATTTGCAAAGTACTAAATTGTACTTAATTTGGTACATTTTCGATTTAAGTGAACCGATAGAACCGATATAGCTGGAATTCTGATATTTAGAAATATGGTTACTACTACATTCAAGGACTTAGTAATGTATGTAGTTTTGGAAATTAGTACTTAAAGGTACTAAATTTGGTTCAATTTGGGTGAACTAAGAGAGCTGGTATCTTAAAAAATGAAATAAGATTTCTTTTGGTTTGTTGGATTGGGATATGTAGGTAGTTTTGGAAATTTGTGCTTATATGTGCGAAATTTGGTACAATTTTAATTTAGTGGAATCAATAGAGCTGGAATTCTAATTTGGAATTAAGATTACTGTTGGAGTGTGGGATTTTGTTTTGCAGGAGGTTTTGGAAATTCGTACATATCTGTCCTTTATATGTACTAAATTTGGTACAATTTGTATTTCGGCGAACCAACAGGGGTGGCATGCTAAAATTTGGCATTTGGGATCACTGGGAAAGTGTAGGATTGGGGTATGAAGGAAGCTTTGGAAATTCGCACTTGGGTATACAGGTTTGCCCATATTCGACGGACCTTTGGGCCCTTTGAGCCCATTCCAATCGACGAGGCTTGTCCGCAGGCAACATTCTTTGCGTCAATTGAATTTTGTACGGGAACAAATGCAAATCAATGCGAATAATCCGTTGTAAAGTGGACCGAACCATGCTCAACTGCTGAGAACGGCGTTTTTGGGATGTTCTTGGGGACCTCTCAACACTGGCTCGTACGGCAGCGATATTCTCGGCCGATCGCCTTGGTCGACTTTTATATGGCCTCTTCGGATTAGAAAGAGCCTTACCACTCGAAAATTTTTCGTATAAACGCTTAATGGTGTTCTTAGAAAGCGCACTTCTCACATTTTTTAATGTTTTTCAATTGACTTCTTGTAAATTTCAACTATTTTAGAGCGCTCGCGTGGCGTGTATTGGTTCATGGTAAAAATCTGCTTGGACTGACGCTTCAAACGCGGTATGTCATTAAGCGATGTGACATCTCAGTCAAAAGTTATGGCGTTGCCAGATGGGTCCGTCGAATATGGGCAACCCTGTACTAAATGGTAATGGTGTCTATACGACGTGGACCTACATAGGCATTGTTTGTCATAAGTCAATACCATATTCAAATTCGAAACTTGAAATAAACGGTGAATAATGTTGCTAAAATCATCAAAATATCGTATATAGGGATGTACCGTTATATCGGATCTGTGCGAAGACCTGGACCAGCATAGACAATTTTCTGTCATAGGCTGTAGCATCCAAAACGAAGTTCAAATACGACATCTCAAACAATTTCTGTGGGTATTGTACCTAAACTCGTCAAAATACCGAATATAGGGAGGTACTGATATATGGGGCGTATGCGAAGACCTGGACCTGCATAGACAATTTTCTGTCTTAGGCTGTAGTATCCATTTCGAACATCAAACACCAAATTTGAAACAATTCCGGTGAATAATGTCGCTAAAATCGTCAAAATACCGAATATCGGGAGGTACCGTTATATGGGGGCTATACGAAGACGTGGACCTGCACAGGCAATTTTCTGTCTTAGGCTGTAGTATCCATTCAAATACTTCAAATACCAAATTTGAAACAATTCCGGTGAATAATGTCGCTAAAATCATTAAAATACCGAATATCGAGAGGTACCGCTATGGGGGCTATATGAAGACGTGGACCTGCACAGGCAATTTTGTGTCTTAGGCTGTAGTATTGCTTTCGAACTTCAAATATCAAATTTGAAACAATTCCGGTGAATAATGTCGCTTAAATCACCAAAATACCGAAAAAAGAGAGGTACCGTTATAAGACCTGGACCTGCACAGTAAATTTTCTGTCTTTGGCTTAGGCTATTTTCTGTCTTATACTATCCCTTTGGAACTTCAAATATCAAAATTGAAACAATTCCGATGGATAATGTTGCTAAAATCATCAAAATACCTAATATCGGGAGGTATCGTTATATGAGGGCTATACCAAAACGTGGACCTACATGGCCCATTTTTTGCCCAATACCAAAAGTCCTGCAGACATAACATACATTTGAGTAAAATTTTATCAATCTACTTCAATTCGTTCGGAAGCTATAGTGATTTCCACAGACGGACGGACATTGTTAAATCGACATAGAATTTTATGCTGATCAAGAAAATATACTATATACGTTGTGGGGTCTCAAATGTATATTTCGAGGTGTTATAAACGGAATGACAAACTTAATATACCCTCCATATAATGGTGGAGGGTATAAAAAAAAGTGCGAATTCCGTAAAACATATTTTTCAAAGGCCAAAATCGATAAGTATTTTGAAGCTATAAACGTGGATTTTTTAAATATATTTAGAGGCCATAGCTATTGACTTCAAAAATTCTTGTTTTCATAACCGACGACTTTTTTTTTACAATTTTTAAAGGCTTCATGAAACTAATTTTAAAGGCCATAATCGTGAATTAAAAAAAATAAATTTTTTGAATTTGTATTCTTTGATTAAAAATTTTCCATAGCTAGGTTCTAGATTTTTTAAAAACTTCTTTTAGGCCAAAGCCTTAGATTAATCGACGACTTTGTTTCTATAATTTTGTATACCCTACACCACGAGGTGGTCAGGGTATTATGTCTTTGTGCATTTGTTTGTAACAGGCAAAAGGAAACGAGATAGACCCATAGTTCCTTTTGATGATCTGCATAGAATCACTTTCTGAGTTGATTTATGCATGTCAGTCCGTCTGTCCGTCCGTCTGTCCATGTATTCTTGTGAACAAAATGCAGGTCGCATTTATTATCCGATTGAGATGAAATTTTCCAAACAACATTTTTTTGGCCTAAGGACGAACCCTATTGAAATTGCAGATAATCGGTAAAAATTTAGATATAGCTCCCATATATATCTTCGTCCGATTTGCCTTTTATTGTGCACTAAACGTGTAATATCAGCCCGAATCATATGGAATTTTGCACGTACGATCACATTGGACCTGAAAATAAGCATGCCAAATTTGATCAGATATATATATATATATGGTAGCTATAGCTCCCATATATATTGTTCATCCGATTTGTTATTTTTGTCCTCCGCAGCCGTAATATGCACTCTGTAACAAAAATATTTGGGGAAATATATCAAATGCAGCTCAGAAATACCTTTGCTAAATTTTATCGAGATCGGTTCAGATTTGAATATACATAGCTTCCATATATAACTTTGTCCGATTTACCTTATATTGTGCGCCAAACGTCTAATACTTGTCTAAAGGGGATGGAATTTGGCATTTACGACCGAATTGAGTCTAGAAGCTAATATGTCAAATTTTGTGGAGATCGGTTCAGATATAGCTATAGCTCCCATGTATATTGTTCATCCGATTTGTTATATTGGTTACCCACAGCCATAATATGCACTCCGTAACAACGATATTCAGGGAAATATATCAAATAATGGCCAGAAATATCTTTGCGAAATTTTATCGAGATCGGTTCTGATTTGGATATAGCTCCCATATATATCTTTATCTGATTTTGAATTAATTTTTTCACCAAATGGGCAATACAAGTCCGAATTTAAAAGATACAAATGCTTCGGCATATTTAGTCCTTTGAACTTTAAAGTACAATCATTGCCTGTATGATTGAATTCTCCCATAAAAACTTTTAATTGTTATGTGAAGCTCAACTAAATTAGCAAAGTGGTGTAGGGTATCATAAAATCGTCCCCGCCCGACTTTAAGACTTTCTTTACTGGTTTCTTTAAATTTCGACCTTTTGGTGAGGGAGGTACCAGAAGAAGTGGACCGATATATTCCATCTTAAGACCAGACCTTGGGTTGATAAAATTATTGTGATGTGTAAATTTTAAGACAATCGACTCTTACATCATTTTTTATAAATGTTGTAATTATTCAAAATTTTTACCCTTTGTGGGGGAGGTACTTGATGGAGTGGAGCGATATTGTCCAATTTCGCACTGACGCAAATAATAGGACGTGCAATATTGAAGCAAAGTCCGATTATCCTTCCCCTTTCTGTGCAGAATACATATTTTTTTTAAATTTCGACCTTTTGTGGAGGAGGTACCTTAAGTGGCGGACCGGTATATTTCATCTTAGCACCAGACCTGGGGTTGATAAAAATATAAGGATGCGTGAAATTTGAGGACAATCGGACTCTTACTTAATTTTTTAATAAAAGTTGTAATTATTCAAAATTTTGACCGTTTGTGGGGAAGGTATTCGATGGAGTGGAGCGATATTGTCTATTTTCGCATATTAGGATTTGCAAAATTTGAGCAGAATCGGATTATACTTTCTCTTTCTGAGAAATAGATTTTTTTTTTTTTGAAATTTTGAAAGTTGGAGCAAAATAAAATCATCCTTTATCTTTCTCTGCAGTAAAATATTTTCTTTCGTTTCAAATTTGGTATTTGAAGTTCGTAATGGATACTACATCCTATGTCAAAATATGAGGCATGTAGGTCCACGTCTTTATATAGCCCTCATATAACGGTACCCCCCATATTCGGTATTTTGATGATTTTAGCGACATTATTCACCGAAATTGTTTCAAATTTGGTATTTGAAGTTTGTAATAGATACTTGAGCCTATGACAGAAGATTGTGCAGGTCCACGTCTTTTTATGGCCTCCATACCTCCCGATATTCGCTATTTTGATGATTATAGCGGTATTATTCACCGGAATTGCTTCAATTTTGGCATTTGAAGTTCGTAATGGATACTACATCTTATGACGGAAAATTGTCCGTGCAGGTCCACGTTATGGTATAGCCCCCATATGATGGTACCTCCCTATATTCGATATTTTGATGATTTTAACAGAATTTTTAATGGTTTTTACTTTTTTTGAAAATTGCTAAATTCGTTCCAAATGGTTGAGGATATTCAAAATTCGGCCCGGCCGAACTTAAAGCTTTTTTACTTGTTTAAAAGCATAAATCTTACCAGAGGTAGACCTAGGAAGGTAAAGGTAATAGAACGTCGATTTTTTAAAATTTGTATTTTTTCAAACAACAAAATCTCAGAATTTTAATAAGTATTTTAATAATAAAAGCGGGGACTTTTCAGAATAATTTTATCTAAAAATATAAATATTTGATATAAAATAAAAGAATACGAAATTTTTTTTTTTAATAAATTAATTTTTAATCTTAAATACTTTTTCTTTATCAATTAATCGAATCGAAAATTTTGCATTTCTTTTTCGTTATAAAATCTTATCTCTAAAACTAAAATAAAACATTAAAAACTAAAATAAATTAATTTATTTAATTCACTAATTTGAGTTTAATAGATGCGTTGATCTTTTTTTGTTGGGCATCTGCATAAATAAATCTACAAAACGTCGCCGCGCTCATCTTCATTTATCTCGCTGAACACGAACCCTTCCCCTGTATCGTAATATCTGCAATAATAAAAAATTCGAAATTTAATTCAAGTTCAAACACAAATAATAAGTTGCTTAAATCTCATTAAACAAATTAACACTTTCTCGTCGCAAAACACACCCAATTGCATACCAAGAGATTTTTTCAACTTTTCCCTTACATTTGCATTCCCCCCAGCAGAGGTCAGTGTCATTTTGGCAAGTAAGCAACAAAAAAACAAATAACGACCACTTACCAATTCGCAAACACGAGGCATAGCATTCCATTTGGGCCTCACTGGTGTACATGTAGCCATCGGAGCCGCAGACAATTTCTTCATTCTCATCTTCGACAATGGCACAAATCCGTTCGCAATAGTCTTCGTTGTCTTTCTGTTCACTGGGTGGAGCTTCCGTTGTCGTGGAACTGCCGCTGCTGTTGCCTTTGGTGTCCGGGGCTTTATTGCCATTTTTGTTTGGCAACGGTTGGCGTCCATATAAGTTCTGGGGAAAAATTGAAAAAGAAAATTTTGAAAATTTAAAATACTTTTTTAAATTTAAAAGATTCGGTTATACAATAACTGTAGAATACAAGTTTAGGAGGCCACCTGAATAGGACTTTAAAAATCAAGTTTCGGGACAAGTTGAATTAATTTTTAATAAATTCGATTTATTTTTGAGAGCGAAAAACTATTGGAAAATCTTTCATTGCGGTTTTAAGATTTTTTCGGGTGGTGACTGACCAAAACATCAGCGCCCAGGAAAATCCATATCCGTCGATTGCAACTCTTTATTTTTTTGTAAAATGTATGCCTCTAAAAAAACCACATGGCTACAGATGTCTAAAAGTTTCTCTTCGAGATAAAGTTCTTAAGCTCCATAAATCACGATAAAACCCGTTTCCGGGCCAGTTCGAGTCGATTTAGCAAGCTGGTCGGATTGTTGAAATTTGGCACATCAAAATATTTTTAACAAACTTAAATCACTGTCGATGATAGGCAATATAAGCCCACTCTTTTTGGTACCTCCCCAAAAAAGTTCAAGATTTTTCAAAAATAAGTAAGAAAGTAATAATCCCGAATTCTCATAGCTGACCCAAATACATTTTTATGCTTTCCACCATTCTATTTATATTAACTTTGTCATTCCGTATGTAACTCCTCGAAATATTCACAATAGGCCCTACAAAGTATATATAAATATATATATATATATATATATACTGAATCTGCGTAGAATTCTAAGACTATCTAGCGATGTCCGCCTGTCCGAATTGAGATATAAGGCTGAGATAGATGGCCAAAAATACATGCATAGTTTACCAGTAGGCAGGTTAAGTTCGTAAACAGGCCATGTCGGTGTAGGTTTTCGTATAGCCCCCATATAACGGTACCTGCCGATATTCGGTATTTTGATGATTTTAGCGCCATTATTCACCGGAATTGTTTCAATTGTTTAGGGTTATGGGAACCACAGTCTGTGACAGAAAAATGCCCCATATATCAGTACCTCCCTATATTCGGTATTTTGACGAGTTTAGGAACAATACCCACCGAAATTGTTTGATATATCGTATTTGACGTTGGTAATGGATGCCTGTGACAGAAAATTGTCTATGCTGGTCCAGGTCTTCGCACAGCTCCGATATAATGGTACCTCCCTATACACGATATTTTGATGATTTCAACTACATTATTCACCGTTTATTTCAAGATTCGCATTTGAATATTGTACCAGCTTGTGACAAAATTTGCCTATGCAGGTCCACGTCGTCGTATAGACCCTAATATACGGCTACATTCGGTATTTTTAAGATTTTAACAGAATTTTAAACAATTTTTTTTTTTTTTTTGAAAATTGCCAAATTTGTACCAAATGGTGGAGAGTATTCAGCTTTTTATTTGTTTTAATTTTAATTATATCGAACGAAAGCAAAAATGTCGGAAATAGCATCAAATTTTAGAATAAGTTGAGATTTGTTCGAATTGGTCACCTTTGGCACGAATTATGGCCTTCAAACGGATAATGAAACCATCACACGCTGCCCGAATGTTGCTCTGCGGTATTTTGGCCCATTTCCGGCAAAGCGCTTGCTTGAGGTTATCGACACTTTGGTATTTTTTAGTGCCAACCTTGCTTTCCAAAATACTCCAGACACAATAGTCCAACGGATAGGTATCCGGAGAATTTGGTGGCCATTGGAGCGAGGAAGCTCATTTTGTAACCATTCTTGGGTGGTGCGGGTGACGCGTGCAATGGTGCTGAGTACTGTTGTAAAGTCCAGGGTCTGCGGCCAAAATGTTTGCGTGCCCATGACTCCAGAATATTTTTGCGATAATATTCGGAATTTATTCTGATGCCACGGTCGATTAATGTGAGCGGAGAGCGACCATCGACTATTATGGCGGCCAATACCATCACCATGACCGGCGTTTGAGTTCTGGTGGCCAACCGAAGGTGCACATTTTCAGCTGACCTCTTTGGCAAGTAAACACGATCATTTTGTTGTTGTTGTTTACAAACTGCTGAGCAACGAATGTTTTCTCATCGAAGAAAACCAAATTCGGCAGTTCACCACTTTCGGCCAAGCGAAGCAACTCTTTAGCCGTTTTGAGTCTATTTTATTGCTGTTGCGGTCTAAGTTCTTGCACATTTTGGAATTTCAAAGGCTTTGCCCCGAGCTCATTTTTTTAATATTTGCCGAATGGAATATTGCAATATGTTCAGCTTACGAGACATTTTTCGGCCACTGCGACGCGGGTTTCGCTTGAGGCGCTTCTTTACTTTTCGAACCATTTCTACTGATGTTGCTGTTTTCTTCCGTCCACTTCCTTGACATCGAGCTACGCTACTCTACCATTATCACGGTAACGGGCGATGGTACGAGACGCAAAAGATTTATTCAAATTTAAATGCTGGAGTGCTCTAACAATAGCTACTTGTGGTTTTCCAGCCAAATATAAATAAATCACACTATCCCGCTTGGATTCCCTCAGGAATAACTTGTTTTCTGGAAAATTCTCACCAATATGCTTTTGTACGCTTGTAAACAATATAATGAGCTGTCACGGGAATACGTTTAACAGCTGTCGGACGAGTTGCTTAGAAATGACAGTAATCTGAAGTTGGTTGCAGTTTTTTCATCGCACCCTGTAAGGCGGATTTTTTCGAAAATTTGTTTTCTTCTAGTACGCACAGTAATCATAATACGAAAAGTACCTATGGTACTAAGGTACAACATTTTTAGTAAAAATTAGAAATCTTGCGTGGATTCATTCGTGCATAAGGCAAGATTTTCCGAAATTTGTAATTTAAGAGTACGAAAAATACGAGAAGTACTACAAGGTACAACATTGAGCAATAGGGCTGCTAATAAGTTCTATACTTTGAAATTTTAGATAAAGGGTGACAACTGGGATTTTTGGCTTTTCATACATAATAGGTATAAAAAGTACTAAAAGGTACAACATTATTAATGAACCTTAGGTTAGAACTGGAACATTAAAATATTAAATTAAGTCACCTTGGCTTAAAGAGTCAAGGGTACGAAATTGTACAATATTTTTAGAGGTTGGATCAGGAAGATCTAAAACGTTGAACTTTTTCAAGAGGGTTACTTTTGGCGTAGAAATGAGGGAATATGGGGGCATTACTAAGAAATCCTGCTTTAAGGGATCAATAAGTACGAAAAGGTAGAAATTACCATGTCATTGCTATTCCATATCCATTTCTTTCCTATTCACCTATACCTGAAATTTATAAAATTTGCCTTAGGTTTTTGTTTTTCGTGAAATATATTGGGATTTTTGAAAAATCCCATCCATAGGGACCGAAAAGTACTAAAAGGTACAACATCGATTTTCCCATCGATAAGAGCTCAAACTTGACATTTTGCATGGGTTTTAGTCTAGGATGAAGTAAGGTGGTATTTTTGCACATAAAGGCCACGAAAAGTACCGAAAGGTACAAGATTGTCGTTTACCGATCGATACAAGCTGAATCAATGAAATTTCGTACGTGACTAGGACATGAAAAGCCGGAATTGATATTTTCTTACTTATTTTTGGATAATTTTGATCTTTTATGGGAGAGGTATCAAAACAAGTGGAACCATGTAGCCCATCTTCGTGAATGACGGGTAATAAAATGAAGAGAACAATAGAACATTATTCTTGAGCCATTGACAACATTTTAAACTTTGAATTTTTGAATCAGGTCCAATCTGTAATAAGGTGGGATTTTAGAAAATTCGCAAAAATAACACAAAATTTCGAAGATATCCTCATTATATGCCCATATAGGAGTATCCTCTGATTTTCGATATTTTTAAAGTTTCCAACTGAATGATACTCAATTTAACAATCTGGATTTTTTATGGATGGAAAAAAACACCCTGCAAGAAATTGCCTACATCCATTTATTGAAAAATATTTTAAATTTCTTGTTGTTTTTGGTGAATTAAAGGTCAGAGTTACATTTGATTTTTATACCCTCAGCCATATCGCTAGAGAACCAATGTATCATATGATATGGCCAAAACGTGCCTAATCGAAATAATGGTTTAGCAAATCCCAATATTTTCGTCGGTGCTAGGTCAGTTGCAAACATGAAAAATATCGGCCTACTCCAACAAGTACCTCCCCCACAAAGGGTCAAAATTTTGAATAATTATAACTCCTATAATATGTGAAATAAGAATCCGATTATCTTCAAATTGTCGCACACCCAATATTTCTACCAACACAAGATTTGGTGTGAAGACGAAATATATTGACCACTCATTCTGGTACCTTCCCCACAAAGGGTCCAAATTTGGAATAATTTTAACTCCTATAAATGTGAAATAACAGTCCGATTTTCTTCAAATTCCTCCCAATATTTCTACCAACACAAGATTTGGTGCGAATATGAAATACAGGGTAAGATAAAATAACTGCAGCCAACTTCAGACTACTGTCATTTCTAAACCACTCGTCCGACAGCTGTTAAAATTATTCCAGTGACAGCTCATTATATTGTTTACAACCGTACCAAAGCATTTTGGTGAGAATTTTCCAGAAAAAAAGTTATTCGGGATGGAATTCAAGTGGGATAATGTGATTTCTTTATATTTGACTGAAAAATCACCAACCAAGTGGCTATCGTTAGAGCACTCCAGCATTTAAATATGAATAAATCGTTTGTGTCTTCTTACCATCGCTCGTTACCGTGATACTGGTACCGACGTCGAGGAAGTGGACGGAAGAAAAAAGCAACTTCAGAAGAAATGGTTCGAAAAGTAAAAAAGCGACTTGATCGAAACCCGTGTCGCAGTGGCCGAAAAATGGCTCGTGAGCTGAACATATCCCAATATTCTATTCGGCAAATATTGAGAAATGAGCGCGAAGTAAAGCCATTGAAATTCCAAAAAGTGCAAGAACTTACACCGCTACAGAAAGAAAAAAGACTCAAAAGAGCTAAAGAATTGCTTAGCTTGGCCGAAAGTGGTAAACTTCCGGATTTGGTTTTCTCCCATGAGAAAACATTCGTTGTCCAGCAGTTTGTAAACAACAACAACAAACTGATCGTGTTTACTTGCCAAAGAGGTCAGCTGAAAATGTGCACCTTCGGTTGGCCACCAGAACACAAGCGCCGACCATGGTGATGGTATGGGCCGCCATAACAGCCGATGGTAGCTCTCCGCTCGTATTAATCGACCGTGGCATCAGAATAAATGCCGAATATTATCGGGAAAATATTCGGGAGGGTGTGTTAAAGCCTTGGGCAAGCAAACATTTTGGCCGCAGGCCTTGGATATTCCATCAGGACTCAGCACCTTTTGCACACAGCACGCGCCACCCAAGAATGGTTACAAAATGAGGTTCCTCGCTTAATTTCCAGCGCACAATGGCCACCAAAATCTCCGGATACCAATCCGTTGGACTATTATGTCTGGGGTATTTTGGAAAACCCTAAAAAATACCAAAGTGTCTATCACCTTACCTTGGCGGGAATGGGCTAAAATACCGCAGAGCAACATCCGGGCAGCGTGTGACGGTTTCATTGGACGTTTGAAGGCCATAGTTTGTGCCAAAGGTGACCAATTCGAAAAAATCTAATCTTATTCTAAAATTTGATGCTATTTCCAACGTTTTTTGCTTTTGTTCAAAAAATGTAAAAATTATGTCGTTTGACTTCGTTGCAGTTTTTTTATCTCACCCTGTATAAGAAGAAGTACTCTCAAAAACTATTAACTGTTAATTTAGGCCCCAAACAATAATATTTCCAGGAAGTCATTTCTATATTTTCAGGAAATTTTGAAATTTGTGAAATTCGTGAGTGTCTGGTGTGGATGCCACAACCTCTCTTCAGATTGTGACCCTGGCCTCCTATATAGGCCAAAATTCCAGTTATTTGAATTTCAACTGCATGGGTTATAATTTGAGATTTTGAGTCCGTATCATGTTGAAAAAAAATATTTTTTTTTAACTTTTTGAGAGACCCAAAACTGTTTGGCCAAAATAGGGGTTGGCCCGGCGAAGTTTTTTTTCTTGAGACTCGAATCAGAAGCAGTTGGTGTCGAAACAATATCAATAAGGCCGAAGTCTGAAATGTATAAAAAATGTCAGAAGAGTAAGAGCCCCTGTAAGGTGGGATGTGCGTAGGGTGAAGATACGGAACCTAGGGCTCGTCCTGACTCTTGAAAAGAAAAAAATGGCTGAATTTAGGGCTTCGTAGTCGAAATTAACTTCTTGGATAAGAGGCGGACTCGAGGTCAATTCTTGTACAAATATCGGAATTAAGGTCAGGCGCCGGTATTGGTACAGTAAATTGGCCTCGACACCGAGTCTGCTACAAGAAATCGATCTGAACTTCGAAGCCCTGGTTGGAGCTAACGTTTTCTATTGCCCCCGAAAAGGGGATCCAGTTAAGTTTTCATAGAGTAACAATGTTCCCGAATCTCCACCACTTGACTTACCGATCCAGCTTGCTGCATAATATCATCCTCATCCTCGGGATCGTCTTCCACCTCAACGATGGGTTTAATTTCGCCCAAATACGCCGAAGATCTTAATGTGGAAGGTAAAGCTGTTGTTGTTGTTGCTTGTGGGTTGCCCACTCCGGATATTCTTGGCGTTACTGGTGTATCCACTGCCTTATATTTATAATGGGTCTGAGGAGCATGGGTATAGGCAATGCCACCTACCATGGCATCACGTTCGGTAAATTCAAAACGTATGGGTTCAGGGGTGCGATTGCTGTTGCCGCTGATGGGGGCAGATTGGCGCACCTGACTGTAGACATTGTTGACACTCACGGGCGAGGAGGAGGTGGCGGAATTTTTGCCTATACCCTTGTCGGCATTGCCAAAATGATTGGCATTATAGGCCGTTTGATAGCTGGTCCTTACCACCGTTGAGGCCCCGGCAGCGCCGCCATTTGAGGGAGTCTCATCTTGATAGAAAAGTTTGGAGACCTGTATGGGTTCCTTGAACTGGGATGATGAGGAGGAGGCAGAGGATGCATGGGAGGCAGCCACTGAGGAATCTGGATGATGTTGCCCGTAATAGATTTGTTGGCTTGGCTCCGTTTTGGGGGCGGAATACTGTTGTTGGGGGTGATATGTTTGTTGGGGATACTGCGAGGATCCGGCAGCTATTGGGGAGTAGCTCTGCTGCTGCTGCTGTTGCTTTTGTAAGCTGTATTGTTGTTGCCTCCGATCGTTTTCCTCATCAATCTGTCTGTAGTTGGGATCTCGTTTGGGCAAGAAATAATCATTGGTATTCATGAATCTCAGATACTCCTGGGCCTCCTTTTCCAAGCTCTCATACTGGGCCGTTTGATAGTCATTGTTGTGCAATTCGGTCATGTCGTTTTCCTCATAGACCGAATACATTTTCACTGGACCACCAGCATGGCCATGGCCATAGGATGTTGAATGTTGCTGTGGTTGCTGCTGCTGCTGTTGGTTGGTGGCGGAAATGGTGGCAGCTGTTGGTGAGTGGCCTGTTTGAGTGTTGGAGGATCCTAGCTCATGTATGGGTATGGAAGGTTGTGCCGACAAACCTGCAGCCAGTTGAACTGGTTTGTTGTGTGCGGCCGAAAAGGCAGGTTGTTGAACTGAATAAGTTGGAGGCTGAGACTGAGGTTGCTGTGGCTGCTGTTGTTGGTATAAATGCTGTGGTTGTTGTTGTGGCTGTTGCTGGTGATACTGCTGCTGATAGTAGGCCACCGGGTCTCTGGGTGTTAGATATTTTTGTTGTTGCAAATATTTGTCATGCTGTTCGTTGTACTTCTGCATTTGCTGTTGGTCGGGTATGGGATACTGTTTGAAATCAGGATATGGCATAGCGGGATCATGCGAAGTGGATTTTAATGGTTGTTGGTGTTGGAGTTGTTGTTGTTGTTGTGGTTGCTGGGGTTTTTGTTGTTGCTGTTGGGGTTTGATGTATTTGGGATAGGAATTATCCAAATTCTGCTGCTGCTGCTGAGTTGACTGCTGCTGTTTTTGCAATTTATTTCCGCCTGGCTGGCCTGGTCCTGTAGCTGCCGGTGGAGGGGGATGTATCACCACCGCTTGACCATTAAAGGCTGGGGAGGCCTTGAAATTTTGCACATACTGCTGAGACAAGGCTGGAACATGTAAACCATTCGGATGCACTCCCAACAATTGTTGCTTCAACGAAGAGGAACCCTTTAGCCCCGCCCCAAAAGGCAGGGCTCCCTTGCCATTAACATATTTGGAGGATTTTAAATTCTCAAAACCAAATCTTTGCTGATTGGCCGGCAGCACCCCGTTATGGACCCTTCTCAGTTGGGGTCTCAAAGGGAAATGATCTGCCCTGGAACGTATTTGGATAGGCTGTCTTCGCCTCCAGCTGAAAATAGGACCATGGACATTTCTGGGCGGATATTTCAAACCCCTTGCCAGGCGGACACTATCCGTCACATTTTGGGATTCTTTGGGCAATTCATCGTTCACTTCATCACTTTTCGATTCAATCGAATTGAGAAAACTTAAAATTATTAACAAAAAAATGATTTGAAATTTCCACATATTTTCCTTTGCACTTCACTTTTCCTTTTTTTTTCTTGGCAAATTTTCCTTCTTCTTCTTCTAGAGATTTTCTTTTTTTCTTCTTCTACTTCTTATTTTCTCAAACACCTCTGGCGTTCTAATTTCGTTTCACACTAGTTTTTGTTTTTCCTGAATTCAGTTTCATTTGCTACGCGTTAGTCCGTTCGAATAGTTTAGAGTTAAATTCGTTTCTCTGTTTCTATTTTTTTTGGTTTTGGTTTTTAATCCGCTTCGTTTTCGTTTGAACGTCTTCTTTGTCCAACGTCTGACTTACATTTAATGTACCGTTGATGTTACGGCTTTTAGCTGAGCTCTTAGCCTCTTGAGTTGAGGTCTTGGGTGTGTGTGTGTGTGTGTTAGGTTGTTGTAAGCCAGTCAGGCAATCGGCGTGCCATAAGCTTGCCACTTCTTTAAACTTTTACCCGGGCCAAACGTACAACGCTTAGCACAATGGGGTGGAGGTAGCAAAAACTAAAAAAAATAATAATAATAATAATAATTAATTAATAAATAAATGAAAAAAAAAACAAGCCCTGAATACCCTTCACCATTTGGAAAGAATTTGAAAATTTAAAAAAAAAGAAAAATTAAATTCCGTTAAAAATTCTGTTAAAATCTTAAAAATACCGAATATAGCCGTTATATTTGTGGTCTTTACGAAGACGTGGACCTGCATAGGAAATTTTCTCAAAAGCCATTCAATACGAAAGTTGAAAAAAATCCGGTGAATAATGTAGCTAAAATCGTCAAAATACCGAATATAGGGAGGTACCGATATATTGGGCCTATACGAAGACCTGGACCTGCATAGACAATTTTTTGTCATAGGCTGTAGTTCGCGTTACGAATTCTGAATACGAAATTTGAAAAAATGTAGCTTAAATCGTAAAAATACCGAATATAGGGAGGCACGGTTATATCGGGGCTATACGAAGACCTGGACCTGCATGGACAATTTTCTGTCAAAGGCTGCTGTACCTATTGGGAACTTCCAATACCAAAATTGAAACGATTCTGGTGAATATTGTACCTAAAATCGTAAAAATACCGAATATAGGGAGGTACTGATATATGGGCCTATACCGGGACCTGGACCGGTAGAGACAATTTTCTGTCATAGACTGTAGTTCCCATTACGAACTCTAAATACGAAATTAGAAACAACTCAGGTGAATAATGTCCCTAAAATCGTCAAAATACCGATATATGGAGCCTATGCGAAGACCTGAATCAGCATAGACAATTTTCTGTCAAAGGCTGTAGTACCTATTGGGAACTTCAAATAACAAATTTGAAGCAATTCCGGTGAATAAAGTCGTAAAAATCATCCAAATACCGAATATTGGGAGGTACCGTTATGTCGGGTCTATGCGAAGACCTGCAACTGCATAGACAATTTTCTGTCACAGGCTATAGATCCATGACGAATTTTGAATACGAAATTTGAAACGACTCCGGTGAATAATGTCTCTAAAATCATCAAAATAACAAATACAAGGGGGGCGTACCGTTGTATGGGGGCTAAACGATATCGTGGGCCTTTATAGACATTTCTCTTGCAGGGGGTAAAGCGCTAGGAAAAACTTCTAGTTGGATTTTTAGACAATTCCATTGAACAATTTGGCTGAAATCATCAAAATACCGAATATCATGAACATATATGGTGGTGGTTTTAGAAATGTGTACTGTGATTATACGAAAAGTGCGGATCAGTACTAAATTTGGTGTTTGGTGAAGGAATAGGACTGAAATCCTCAAATTTGACATAGATTTCACTCTTGGTGTCTGTGGTTGAAAGATGAAGCTGGTTTCGGACATATGTACTATTAACTGTACTAAATGGTACAACATCTTGTAATAGGGGAAATTGAAGAGTTGAAATCCTGAAATTTACTATTGAGGTCACTGTTGTATCTGGTTTTGAGATATGGAAGTGATTTTGGAAATGCGTACTATATTTGTAGAAAAGTACTAGATGGTACTAAATTTGGTATTGTGTCAAGGAATAGAGCTGGAATTCTCAAATTTGATATTGAGGTCCCTGTTGGTGTCTTGAATTCAGATGTGGATGTGTTTTTGGAAATGTGTACCAAATGTAAGAACTGTAGTAAATGGAACTAAATTTGGAAGAATTTCGTTGTGGATGAACGGAGGATGTTGGAATTTCGAAAGTTTGTATTTCAGTTTCAAGTTGGTGGTGGGCTTGTAATAAAGTATTGGTATTGAAAATGTGTACTATACTATATTTTGTTATATTTGGTATTGGGTGAAAATATGATGTTAGAAATCTGAAATTTGGTATTAGCGTCGCTGTTCGTGTGTGGTCTTGACATATAACGGTGGTTTCGGTGGTTTCAATTGTACGAAAAGTACTGAATTGTACTATATTTGGTATTGGGTAAAGGGATAGCTATAAAATCCTAAAATGTGTTATTTAGATTACTTATGGTATTTGTGTTTGAGAATTGGAGATGGATATGGTAAGGATAGGGCTGGAATCCTCAAATTTCATATTGAGGTCTCTGAAATTGAGAATGAGGTCTCTGCATTATAATTGTTCTAAATAGTATTAAATTTCGTAATGGGGGACATTAAATAGCTGAAATCCTGAAATTTGATATTGAGGTCACATTTGGTATCTGGGATTGAAATACGGAGGTGATTTTGGAAATGCATACTACATAATACTATATTTGTACGAAAAGTACTAAGTGGTACTAAATTTGGTATTGGGTGAAGGGAAAGAACTGAAATTCTAAAATTCCATTGTGCAATGATTTTACTAATATCCTCCTCAAAAAATTTCAAAATTAAAGATTTTTGACGATTTTTTTGGGGTGTAAAAAGTTGAATGAAAATTTAAAAATTTCGACCCTTTGTGGGGGAGTTACTTGATTGAGTGGGCCGATATTGTCCATTTTCGCAAATAGCCTAGCACTGACAGAAAAAATGTGATAAGCAAGGTTTGCACAAAATGGAATTTTTACCTTTTGTGGATCGATGCCTTTCCTTCGAGAGTTATCATGCGCACCGGCCAACCAGCCAGCCTGCCTGAGATACAGAAGTATCGACGGACATCCCTAGATAAACTCGAAATATCCCGAAACGGATTTGGTCCAAAGAGACCTAAGGTATAAAACATTTATTTCGATGTGGCACATTGTGGCCGTATCAAATGATATAAACCCTCAAGCAAGGTCATAATTTTCATTTCTAGTACATACATTTTGAATGTAATTTTCATAAAAACTATTGTACATTGATACATGTTTTATTCTGAGGATACTAGTGTAATTTTGTGTGATTTTTTTTTGACAGAATTCGTCAAAAACGAAATTTTATGTTACTTTCAGGCGCCAACTCGAAAAAAGTCAGGCGAAAAATTGAACAAAAAAGTAGGGAACATTGATCCACATTTTTTTTTATATACATTGAAAATAGAGATTTCATTTCTTTGGCGACAGATAGTAAAATTTGATAAAGAATACTTTTGTCTTTGACGTCGTCCTTCTAAATTGATGCTTTGTTGGAGATTTTTGCATAAACTCACATAAAGTACGGCTTTAACCTTTAAATGTGTTTTTAATATTTTGTGAATTTTTGGCGCGTAAGTAAGATTTAGACTTTTGATGACTTCTGGGACCTATAGTAGAATTTGATGATAACTAGTTTTGTAGAATATTTTGACTTGCTACGAACCCATTGAAATGGAGTTTTTCACTAAATTTTGAAAAAACCCTCAAAAATATCTCTTAGTTGACTAGATTGGGGAGTTAACATTTTCCATAAAATAATTCTCGTAGTTTTATTTAAAATATTTCCGAAGATATTATATACCTACAATTAAAAAATCTGTAAGTTCGGCCGGGCCGAACTTTGAATACCCTCCACCACTTGGAATGAATTTGGTAATTCTCAAAAAACAATAAAATCCGTTAAAAAAATCGGTTAAAATCTTAAAAATACCGAATGTAGCTGTTATATTAGGGTCTACAAGAAACTGCATAGGTACCTTTTGTCATAATCGGTGAATAATGTAGCTAAAATCATCAAAATACGAAATATCGAGAGGTACCGTTATTTGGGGCTATACGAAGACGTGGACCTGCACAGACAAGTTTCTGTCTTAGGCTGTAGTATCCATTTCGAACTTCAAATACCAAATTTGAAATAATTCCGGTGAATAATGTCACTAAAATCGTCGAAATACCGAATATCGGGAGGTACCGTTATATGGGGGCTATACGAAGACGTGGATCTATATGGCCCATTTTCTGTTTTATGCTGTAGTATCTGTTACGAACTTCAAATACCAAATTTTAAACAATTGCGGTAAATAATGTCGCTAAAATCATCAAAATACCGAAAATGTCATCAATCTATTTATTTCGTTCGGAAGACGGGCGGACATCGCTAAATTGACATAGAATTTTATGCTTATCAAGAATATAAATACTTTGTGGGTCTAAAATGTATATTTCGAGGTGTTACAAACGGAGTGACAATGTTTCGCCGCACGAACTAGGATCCATTATAACCTAAAAATACCAGTTTTCAGACAAATCCGTGAAAAAATGTGGCAAAAATTATCAAAATACCGAATACGGGGAGGTACCGTTATATGGGGACTATACCAAAACGTGGACCGATATATTTCATTTTCAATACCAACCATCCTAGACATAATACAAATTATTCTGCTAATTTTTGACGCTCTACTTCAAAAAATGTGGGCTGTATCGTGATTTCAACAGACAGACGGACGGACAGACAGACAGAAAGACGGACATCGTTAGATCGTCTTAGAATTTTATGCTGATTATGAATATATATATATATATATATATATTATGGGGTCTACGACGAATATTTAGGGATGTTACAAACGGAATGACAAACTGAATATACCCCCCTTTTCAAGGTGGAGGGTATAAAAATAAGAGCTTCAAAAATTATAATTTTTATAAAATTCTTTCTTAGAGCTCCCTAAAGTTTAAAAAATAATTTTTCGAATTCACTTCAACAATTTTCTAATTTTAATTCTTCTCTCTCTCCCTTTCAGAGTTCTATGCTACGAATTCCATCA